TACATTTTTGGCTACAAGAATTCGCAGACAGCATCTCTCTGTAGCCAAAGGTTGTATGTATTCAGTCACCGAATTACTCGTCTGTGCACTCCAATGAGCTGGGAACGAAATTGAGAAATTCAAAAAAATTAATTGAATGAAAAATGAAAAAAAATTTTCTTGAGAGGCTAGACATATAGTGTGTCCCAAAAGTAAGCACACATTTTTCAATCGTCAACATCTCTCTTCACCGGTTGCTCTTCTGTAGGATTACTGTAAGAACTTCCGCATGTGGAAACATTGTGAAACATGCCATCTGATAAAATTTTATTTCAAAAAATCTGAACAATAGTGTGCTAGGGTTTTCGCGCACGCTGATTCCACTACACAACTTTTTATGGGCGTTTTCAGCTTTTTGACGATGTAATGACATTTCTAACAAATACTGGGAATTCGATTATTACGGTTTACTTGGCATAGCTTTGAAAAGAAGCATTACAGTAAAGTGAAAAATTCACATTTGAAATCAGCGGTTTCTATTACCATAGTAAGATTTAAAAGTTTTTGGCTTGTTTGTTTTGTTCTGAGGCAGATTATGGCTTCCACTGGCCTAAAATCTTTGTTGAAGTTCCTACGGTAATCCTACAGTAACGAAGAGCGATCGGTGTTTTCATCGACACCGTAAATCTAAGTTGAGACCTCTCTGCAGAATGGTATTTAATTGGCGGAAAAAGAAACAATGGGAAGAGAGATATTAACGACTGGAAGGAGTGTACTTACTTTTGGGACACCCTGTACAGGGCTCGGCAAGAGGTGGCTAGTTGAAAATGCAAAAAACGAAAACCCCCTTGACTTTTGCGAATTTTTACGAAGTCCCTTTTGACCCTAGACCAGGGCTCGGCACGAGGTGGCATCCCGAAATTGCAAAAAATGAAGTCCCTTCTGACTTCAATGAAATTACAACATCCGCCACGAGATATTCGAAGAGAAAATACATGAAAATAAACGGAAAAAAGCAACAGCAGAGAAAAAAACGAAAAAGAATCATCGAGCACACGCGATTATATCCATATTTTCCGGAATGGCGGCATGATGTATCCATCGTGCAGCAATACGCGCCTAGAGCAGCTTTTCCGCGACCATTCAAAATTTTCAAGGGGCTAGAACTAAGCGGGGAGAAGAGGGTTTGAGGCGGTTTAAAAACCAGTTTGTAGGGTTTGGGATGTAGATGAAAAGTATGTAAAGAAAGTAGAAAAATTATGTGAGGAAGGAAAAATTTATGACTTTTTCTTTCCTAAGCCACCTCAGGTGGCTATCCAGGTGGCTTGAAAGCCACCTAACTCCGAAAAAAGTTGAGCATGCCTCTAGTTCACATAATTTTTTCATAATTTTTCATACTTCGTCCTAACTCCCCATTGCCCATCTACACACCTATTTTGGTGTCATTTCATCTTCACTTCGCTGTAAACAAACCTTTTGTTTATTTGCTAGCGGCATGCCGGCAGCGTGCCGGCCGCAGATCGAAAGACAACGTTATGCTCTTCCGCAAAAACGATATCCCCTTTGCTTTTTTCCCAAAAACGATATCCAGCTTGCTTGCTAAGCCACCTGTGCCGTGCCCTGACCCTGTATATTAGGGTGTCCCGAAAGTTTTGTCCGTTTTTTCCATAGCTCACTGAAACTCACAGAACACCAATCCATGGACGAATTAAGAACTATTTGATTTAAATTTTCATGCTCTTTCTTATAGGCTGCATTTGCTTTCTGATCTACTCTGTTTTTGCAATGTTATTGTTATGGCTTCTTGAGCAGTTCAGAAGTAACGCCAAATTTTCCTAAATTCTATGATAAAAAATTTTACCCCGTTGTTACCAAAGAGCGATGGCAAGTTTTATGTAGAGCAAACCTTTGGCTACATTGTACCTATTTAGATTACATGGAACACGTTTGCCAAGTCCGTTATAATTTATTCAATAAAAACCGAGGCTTCTTGATTACGTTTACACGTAAAAGTAACGAAAATTTTCAAAAGCTGGCTAAATAAATAATGTTTAAGAAGAACCTTGTTTTGATCCGCAGAAACTTCAAAAGCTGTCTTATATTTGCCCATTTGCGTGTTTCATGACTTTGCCAAAAATTGAGACCTTAGAAGAAATAATTTTTCGAAATTAAAGACAGCAGATTGAAAATATAAACATACTACCTTGTAGTCCGAGAATTGCTCTATTTGATGCATACTTAAACCCTTTCGAAACTTCGGAATGAAATTTCCAAAAATTAGCCCAATTTGGAGCAGGTAAAATTGACGGGTGGATACAAGATTTTGGTTCGAATACACATTCGTAAAATAGGGAAGGAAAAGCTACATCGAGTGAAAACTTTCATGTCTTTATTGTGCGTGGTTTTATAGTGGTCTGAAAAAACGGACAAATCTTTCGGGACAACCTAATATTTAGGTGAATAACTGGCTTTTTTAATGACGGAAAATTCTGAGTATCTAAAATGTGAGAGCAGAGGCTTAAAATATTCTCCCACGAAGAATCTTGGTGACTACCTGCTATTCAAATTGTTATAGAGCTTCGAGTTTGCATGTCAAAACCAATATTTATAAGCCAACCTAATAATTAGCAACATTTACAATCTATGGGTTCTAGTCATATATCTTGTGCACCAGAGCGGTTAATCTTTTTCCTTCATCCTCTTCAAGCCCTTGTTCCTAGTAAGCAGAAGGGTGTGATTTCTTCGTTTCTTTGTGTGGAATTCCATTAGACATTACTGTCAATGGCGTGGTAAATTTACATGGCAGCAAATACTCAAATAATCGCCGGGGGCAGACGGTCCGCAAACTCGCGCTTTTCAGCAAGCGGTCAGCAGATTTTTGGGGCGTGGCTAAACCTTCAGCGAGCGTCACCTCCTTTACTGTCTAATGTTCTGCCAGCGGGCAGCAACACAGGATTTTCTGCAGGCGCTCGTTAAATAATCTCTTTCAGCAAACGCTGGCCGAACTTTCAGCAGGCGCTCGGACTCTTTTTACGCAGTTTCGGACTCACATCGAGCACAGGTAAGACTCTATGTGGCAAAGGTGTCACCTTTGGTTTAATTACTCAAGTTTGAAGTCTTTCTCTGCGCGGTTCTTCACAAAGGACCGTGCGGCCCTCAAAATTTTGCATATTCTCGCGGAAAGTCCGCGAGAATGCGGCCACTGCGCCGCGGCTAATCTATAAGGAAAGTGCGATTGTTCTCCGAGCACTCGTCTAGAAATTGGTCAACATTCTTCCAAATATCTGCAAGCGGACCGAAAGAAATCAGCGAACTATTTTTCCGGTGCCCGCCTCCCCATAAATCGCATGGCCGCCTGCCCCCGGCGATTATCTGAGTAGATGCTATTCCGGTGTAATGGGATAGGCTAAGAAATAGTTTGGACAGTTTATTTGATCACATCAACGATAAGGCAATACGCTGTTGATGAGTGGTTGTAAGATAATTTCCTCATAGGACTTCACCATGCTAATGCAGGGATGTGAAACTACATTAGCTTATCTTAATCCGCGAGTCTTTAAAATGTTTAGAATGTTCAAAGTTTTGTTCACTTATTAGCGTCTCATTTCGAGCTATAGAATAAGCGGTGCATAATGCGTAAAAGGGCCGATGTTCCAAAAAGGATTGTGAGAGATCTTCGTTTACCCTGATGTCTACAACGTTAGTCCAGTTTCCACGCAGATGTGGAATGTACACTTATGACGTCCATGCCGAAGTGAAAGCACTAGTCAATGTCTCCACATAGGCCAGATTCAATCTTTTCTTTTTAGCATAACGTAATAAGCACTTCAGGTCGAATATTACCAACTTGTCAGTGCTGCCCTCCAGTTCGCACAATTAGTGGATTTAGTGGTCCGCGCTGCAGTCAATCGCTTTAGCAGGGAGAATCATCGGTCGTACGCGGTAGTATGCGGTCGTTGGTTTGTATCAAGTACATATACAAACTTTTTCTATGCGGTTTTATCTTCGCGTAGAGGTGGTAGGAAACTTGGTCTTGCAATGGTACATTCGATTCCTCTCCACAGTTTGCTTCTTCTGGCCAATTTCAGGACCTTAGCTTGTCCGTACTTTCAAACGACGTCCTGCTAGGCTTTTGCATAGCTTACTTTCGTAACAGCAGCGAGATATGTTGATCCACATTGATCTCAAAGCCTCTCTATGCACGGTAGGCCTTACCCTTATCACAGGCTTGCAATTTGTTTAGAAGCTAATCCTAGTCGCTCGCTAAATCTTGAGACCCCCTATTTTTCTTTAGCATTTGACCGCTGCAATCTCGCACTTCGAGCATATTTTCCCACATTTCCATCCGTTTAATAGAGGCGTTACTGAAGCACTATGGAGTCAAACTAGTGAGCTTTAAGGGAGCTCGATTGCTGGAAAGTAAACTTTCGTTTGCGCCTTTACGTTTAGAGGTTTCCATGTCTTTGTGGGTTTGATTTCATAAACAATTAAAGTTTTCAAAAGAAATGTGCAGTTGGCCCAAAGAGACAGTTTCCATTTATATTCTCTCCTGAATTGACCTTAAAATCTTCCAAACTTCCTTCTCTCGTTCGTCTCAAATTGAAAAATTGTCGTTACATGCGTTTTTTGGATTTGTTGCTGATGTTAGGAAAAAAAGCTTTCGGCGATTGATGCTGATGGTCTTTTGAAATACATATCTCTTACTAGCGCTTTCAATGAGCTTGCGTCTAATTGAAACCTTGGTGGTCCATACGAACGAGATCCTTGGATGTTGTATTCGAATTTTCGCAAATACTTGGATCATTCAAATTTGTTATGCAAATTTTGAATTGATACCAGAACATAGCACAACTAATTTTGACAAAGTGTTGTTGAGCATTTGCAATCACTTGCTTATGGGCAGTGTCAAAGAACTTGTCGCACGTTCTAGAATATCTGCTTTTTATGATGCGTTCTAGATATATCGTTACCAAAGAAATGTCTTTGGTTCTGTCAACATAAGCTAAGACGTTCCGTTAATGTATATGCAAGTTGTTTATCCAGTATTCAAGTGATAGGTAAGAGACATCCACAGTGGGAAAACCTCACATAATTGTATATCATCATCCCATTTCAGCTAATCTTGCCATTACTTGAGAATTAGTCTGCTGAGACATCAGATATACATGAAGTCTTTATTGAAATTTATGGATTTACCAGCATAGTAGCATATGCATGCAAATTTTTTCCGTGTCGACCTTGTTCTGAAAAATCGGAATTATTCGAAAGCACAAATCAAAAATTTGTACACTTTGCTAACTGCGCATTGGGAGCATGAATATTGATGAATATAAATTGCTATCTCACCATTATTCCTGCCATAATTCCTTTTATGTTGCTCTGTACCATGCTTATGCATACGTCTGGAAAGACGGGAAAGTTGTCCTCACAGAACTTTTTTGCAAGCTGAAGAATGGCTTATTCTTGGTTACTAGAATAAAACTGTTTGAACATCATGCTCATTAACTTCAGTCGTCGAAAAAACGTCTATTACTCTATTTTCCGGAGTACAAGGTGCATTTTTGTGCACCGCGCGCGAGCAGATTCGCGAAAACGCCGGGCGATGGGCGACGTCGCAAAAGCAGCGATTTAACCTTTAAGCGATTTTTGCTACACTTATTGTGCCCTCGTCCTTTGTTGAATCTTCTGTGGTCTTGAATTGCTTAGAAAAATTAGTTTGCTCTTTGATTATCATACTCTACAAAACAACAATTAAAGCTGAACACTTGTACTGCGATCACCGTCGAAAATTTTAACTGTTGAGATGATTTATGTCTACGTCCATTATCAAGCTTGAAATGCAAAATTAATTAGCACTGAAATGATGAGAACTCTGAAGCTCCCATTCTGCAATCTATACAGAAAGTATAAATAAGTAGAACTCTAAAGGTGGTCCACATTTAGGGCAATTCTAAGGCACACCTTTCGCGTTAACGTTCGCGCGGCAGGTGCGTCTTGTACATGGGTGAGCCTTATACGCCGGAAATTAGGGTATATGCACTGTGTTGTAATTAAAGAAGAACCTCCTGTGTAACACCGTTAACTCCTCCTTCGACATTTCCTTTTAAGGTGCTGACCAAACCTTTGCACATATCACACATGGGTAACAAAGACGCGACGTGACCCTCGGCAAGGACAATCACTGCCAAAAGAACTAGCAAAAGTCTCATTCTTCAGTTAGTCTGCCTAAAAGAACGCACTCTGTTAGCTAATTTATAACTTGATGAAGAACGAAGAGAGTGACAAAGTAGCGATACTAAACCGTGTTTATATAGCAAGAAAGCGAGAACCATTTGATATTTTTACTGACAAGTGGAGCGATTTTGGATTTTCACCTAAATAAGCTTTTGATCTGACTGTAGTGAAAATTCAAAGCACATGGGACTTTTTAGTGTTGCGTAAAGCTTTGAAAATTGGATGATAAGACAAAGAGCATTATGTTACAAAGTCCATACATACGGATTGATTTCTTGCAACTTTGAACGACAATCGTTCCGTAATCAAATGGGAGCATAAATTCAGAATTTGTTCAATAGGTAAAAAATATGCTACGATCGGATGAGATGTATTAGGTTGGCACATAAGTACTGCAATTTTTATATAACTTTTGTCTCGTTGAACGTGGCGCATTTATTTTTTGGCAATGTAAGGATTATGATGTAAGCTTTTAATGCACACATTTTGCCGAATTTCACATCTAATGTAAGGATAACGGTAGGTTTACGGTACTATGGGAAAAATTTTAGAATGCATCAGATATTGCTGAAACTTGACCTATAGGGCTTATTCGACATGCTGATCACAAAAATGAGACCCATTTCGCATGAAAAGGCCTCGTTCGTCAGATCAAAAAATGACTTCCATTTTAGTGACAAATGAGTATGATATTCGTGTTTACCGTATAGGAGTAGGATTACCCTACAGTGCAAAGTTATAGCGAATTCTGAATTTTCGCAGCTTAGTTATTGACAAATTGCCTTCAGAACTTGACGCATTTGACTTGTTCAACTTCTCAAACGCGCCCCATATTGACTTGTGTTTGAATTTCATTTTTTTTTACTGATTCCAATGCGTCCACTTCTAGCAACATGCTGCCTATAATTTCTTTTTGATATGTTTAGTTTGGGTTTCGTAGGGCGTCATGTTTGCCAAAAAGCCGTGAAACCTCGATTTTCAACAGTTTTGAAAAAATGTTTGGATTTTTTGTACTACGTCATCAAAAATCAAAAGATTTGCGCAGGCTTGCAGCTTACATTACGATCTACATGATATCACAAAATGGGATTGCTACATAGTATAAGAGAAAAGTTACGAGAAAAGTTGCAAAACTTATGTGCCAACCTGGTAAAAGTAATGCGTTAGAATTAGCGTTATATCAAATGAATGACATTGTGTACAACATATCAACTAGTCCAATACGAAGCTAGGCAAATTGCGATGAATTGTCACCTTGCCGAGCTCACTATTTGAGAGCCTCCGACATGTGGTTTAGATGTAATTTTCCATCGGCATGTCAGGTTACTTCTATGGACACTATGAACCATTATCTGCTACAAATCAGTATTTCCTACGTTTCGGAAACTTGTCTTTCAAACATGTATGACCTTAGACTTAGCACTCGATTGTCTACAATTCTTGGCATTTTTGTAACTCCAGCTATATTATCTGAGCTGTAATCAAAACTTGTAACCATCTTTATCAAACTCGTAGGCTAACGTTCGACGATAATGCCTTTTTCAGAGTCTAAAAAGAGCAAAAACTATTGCAACCTGCACCTCAAGCACCGCATCTAATATTAGATTGTAACAGAATTAATGCAGGTTTTGAATTCCAACCGCAATAACTCATACATTTTTCATTTCTAAGTAGGTTGCAAAACACCATTCAATAGAGCAAAGCAATCTCTACAAGATGGCAATCTTGCTTTAGCAACAACTCTGATCACTACGAGTTTCGAGCCAAAAACTAAAAAGATTCAAATGTCCGAAAAATTGAGAAAAATCGTAACTCAGTTCCTAAAAAACCTACAAAAATTCTAGCTTGCTCACGTAAGCACTATCTACAAGAGACGTCTATATACGCCGTTGCCACAATTTTTCCTTTGTTAGAAATCGAGATAACGGAAATGTTCGTGCATTCGCTAAAGTGTTGCTGTGTCGTCCCCGCATAAGTAGTTTTATACTACAAGGCTGTAGAAGTACAAACGTAAATTTTCAGCTTTCTACAAGCTTTAGTTCTCGAGAAATTTGAATTTTAGCTTGGACCATCTGACTAGGGAAAATTATATTCGATATAACTCGAGAACTAAAGCTTGTAGAGAGCTTTGCGTTAGTACTTCTATAGGTCTGTAGTATACAGCTACCTATGTGGAAAGGGCACAGCATCACTTTGGCGAACGCACGAAAATTTCCGTTTTCTTGATTTCTAACAGAGAAAAAAATACGGCAAAGGCGTATATAGATGTCTTATGCGAATAGTGTTTACGTGAGCAAGTTAGAATTTTTGTAGGTTTTTTAGGAACTGAGTTACGATTTTTCTCAATTTTTCGGACATTTGAATCTTTTTAGTTTTTGGCTCGAAACTCGTAGTGGATCAGAGTTGTTGCTAAAGCAAGATTGCCATCTTGTAGAGATTGCTTTGCTCTATTGAATGGTGTTTTGCAACCTACTTAGAAATGAAAAATGTATGAGTTATTGCGGTTGGAATTCAAAACCTGCATTAATTCTGTTACAACCTAATACAAAGACCTAATTCAGCAAAAGGTAGCAGGGGTGATAACAGGAGAGACACTAAGCCAACGCTTGCCCTGATAGCCTTCGGTAGACAGTGAGAACAGACTACCCACAGCGCCCTGTTGGTATGCATATACCAGAATGCCCCATTTTTACAGTTGAACTGACCCGATCCGTAGGTCAAAACCTAGAGCTAGATACGGGACCAGCTCGTTCGTAACGGCAGTGCACACTTCCTTGCAATTAATTTTTGAGTTTTTTGATGTAATCCAGGACGCTAATAACGTCTTGTGGGCTACTGTATAGAGCTCAATCGATAAAATCGTGATAACCGCGTTCTTGCTGATCACCATGAGGTTGCCTGTGGAGGGCGCCTAGAGGGGTATACTTTCAATTTTTCAGGTTCGTCAGGTGCCTCGTGACCATTACACACAAAGGTCTGCCGGCTTCGCCCGTTACTGATCTCCATATGATTAAGTAGTGGGACAGAATACACCGACTCCATGGAATCCCACTCTCTTTCAAATGGACAAACACAACTAGCACTTAAACATAAGCGTTCATAGAAGCGATTGCGTGTTAGCTTGTGATGTGAGGGGGTGGGATGTCTATGACCCCCGTCCTACGTACGTACATCGTACGTCGCTTTCGAGGCCCGCGTGGTGAAAACTTTTCTTTAGTTCTCTGCTGAACTCGTCGCATACAAAAGGAACGCAAAATGGAATTTGTAGACTGCTCTTGTGCGTGAGATCTACAATCAGGCAAACGAGCATACTTACAAGAATGATCCCAAATTAAGTGGCCGATAGGAATGAAACGCATATCATTAAGTAAGTCTCAATAAGCTGATTTTGAATCTACCTTCTATATCTGCGATGCCATTCTCTAGAGGAAGTTATGAGCGTTCAAATGTCCAAATTTGACGAACAGCGCTGCATCCTTAAAAATTAGTTGTTCAAAAACACTTATCTGCGTTTCCTGTAAATGTGAGTATCCCTCAAAATTGATTATATCTTGCTAGTCATGCACTCCCAAGTTGGATTTTATAGCACATCGTGCGTTGGAAATCTAGTGAGTTCACACATGCAACCGCATTTCGAATCCGTGAAGTCACTGGGGCTCTAATGCATGATGTGCTATAAAACAATTTCGAGGGATGCTCACATTTACCGAAGACGCAGATGAGCGTTTTTGAACGAATAGTTCTTGAGAATGGCGCTGAATGTTCGCCATGTTTGAACTTTTGAACGCTCGTAACTTCCTCCAGAAAACGGCATCGCAGATATAGAATGTGGATGTGGAGTTAGCTCATCAAGACGCATCTAACGACATGCGATTCATTCAAGGAGGCCAGGTTAAGTTGGGATCGTTCCCTTGTTAGGGTGGTTGGCCGCCACAGAATATCCATTAAAAAACTCGATGTTTTGCCAGATCCGTGGATATGGCGCGTTCATGCTGGAAGAGACACCGCTCTGCCGTTTGAACATTTTGCCAATTACTGCACTCTCGATGCTCCAAGGATGCGCAGAGCTGTAATGCACCATGATAGTTTTGCTGTTGGGTTTTGAAAACCATTTTGTTTTGTATGCGCCATTAGATAAGTATCTGTACAGGGAGAAAGGGCAGCCAATTTCCGTTGGAAGCTCGTGTAAACTTGATGTTGTTCAAGAGAGTGGCTGTTCAAGAGATTGAAGCAGATGTCAAATTCGGTCTACATGGGAACAACAAAGCAGTTATCTATGCAGCAATTATCTATGTAGTGACAGTACAGTAGTAGTTTCCGAGCAAGTATAGGAGCTTCAGTTTTGGACATAAAGACAATGCTACGGTGGAATCTAACCTTTGCCCCATCGCTAACCATATTACTTGTTCATAATACTGTCCAGACCAGCGAAAGATGCACCAGTATAATCACTCACTAAGGAGCGTTATTTGATTGATATTAAGCCGCGTACAAGTGTAGAGATCCATGATGTTCTGTCAACAGTTTGAATATGGCTTGCCTAGCAGCCTCATTGGAAATACTGATGTACAGTGACGTAACTTCAAAGAACTCTATCACACAAATGCTGCTGTGCTGCGCCTCACAGAAATGTTCGAGGAAGTTTTTTGAGTTCAATAAAGATCGCTACCAGTTTTGAGTACGGCTCAGATAATATGGTTAAAGATGCATGGCTTGGTCTTAAAACTCGAATATTCTTCGTTTCCTACAACAAATAATGTCCTCCCTTGCTTATACTTTGGATTACGCTTCTCACTTTCAAACAGGAGGTTTAAAAATACTGAGAAAGCTGTGGACCAAAACAAGGCGAATTTGTCACAGTAAGCTCACACTTATTACTATGAAATTGGGAGAGCCGTTTGAAACTCAAACTTCCAAGCTTTTGTAGGTGCCTTACACTAACTGTTTTCGTCCGCAACCGATCCATTGTTGATATGATTGTAGGCTCAAAACTTTTTTTGCCATTGAAAATTT